TAATCAGGGATTACACGTAACTTATGTTTCTGACATTGTGGTGGTTTGAATTTGAAGGCGGAGCTGAAAGAAAAGCTGGCAAGGATGTATGAAGTGAAAGATTCCAATGCCATATTTGTTTTTAAGTTCAGGACTCACTTTGGAGGAGGTAAATCAACTGGGTTTGGTCTGATCTATGACTCTGTTGAGAATGCAAAGAAATACGAGCCCAAGTATAGGCTCATCAGAGTATGTTCTTAACCATGGTTTGATCTATTGCATGTTGTTCCATTCTGCCATATGTGCTTCCGTGTCTATGTTTTTGCTTTAACTATGTCCTGCAATGCTAGTGTTTCAAAAGAATTGTATGAGATATGAGCTTTTTGTAAACTAGTCCTTAGTAACACCTGCGCCTAAAGTTCCAAGTGCATCTCTAATATGGGTGAAAAACCATGGGTTTTCTTGTTTCCATGGGCACGAAATTAACCTTTTTTCACATAAAGCACATTTACAAACACTTATTTGGATGTATGGAAGACTGGATTTTCTTTCCATATTTTCTTGTGAAATATGCAGTATTTATTTGTGGACAATCATTTTCTAGATTTTTGTTCCTCTTCTTCAATAGTTTGTAATTTTATCAATCCATACATTTTATTCTAGATGTTTTTACTCTAGCTGGATGACGCGTTTTATACTTAACATATTGTTTATTTAGTCCCTGGTCATATTCATCTTTGTGTAGCTTTAACATACTTTCAGACCACATTCTAATGTAGCCATGTCATGGAATTTCTAAAGATATTTACTGAACCCCCCCCACCCAAAAAAAATAAAAATAAAAACGGTGTAATGGCTTCAACATTGGCTCTATGACAACCTTAGTACTCAGGTTACAATTTTTGGATGTTGTTTTCCATTTAAGATTGAGTATAATATTGCTGAAAACTGTTTTTGGATGTTGTTTGCAATTTAAGATTTAAGTCTAGTATTGATGATAGCTGTTTGGGGCTTGGCCTTACTGAATCATTTTTAATAATATATGATGTGTCATGTGTGTGTGCGTGTGGATGCATGATGTCTTGAAGAAAAAGTACCATTATGTTTATTTTCATCAAACTAAATTCACTCTTGCAGAATGGGTTAGCCACTAAAGTTGAGAAGTCCCGAAAGCAAATGAAGGAGCGAAAGAACAGAGCCAAGAAAGTCCGTGGAGTGAAGAAGGTAAAGACACAAACATTACCTTCATAGAAATATCAAGCATCTCTTTTTGAACTAATGATGTTCTTATCTATGGAATCTGTGTTAATCTGATTTTTACATGTATTGCAGACCAAGGCTGGAGATGCTGCAAAAAAGAAGTAATGATTCTGTGGCAAATGTAGGTCAAGCTGAATTTGGAAAAGAAATTGCATGCCCAGACTTTCTCTCATTATGTTTTCTTCCTTTCCAATGGATTTCCCCCAATCTATCTTCCATTTTTGCTGAATCTTAGGAGTGTAACAGGGTTATGCTTCAACTTTTCTTTCACAATAGCCATCTGTTATCTTTTACTTTCTCTGCTTGTTGAGCTATTATGTTTTTGGATGATCCATTTGGGATGTTTGTAGTTTGTACTGTGAAAGCAGTATACTCTTGATATATGGCCTGCTGTGGTATTCTGAACATAGGCTCTTAACTCTTTCCATTCCAAGTTTTGAAAATGTGTGTTTTACATGACAGACAAGCATAGACAATTATTATTCGTGGATCCTAAATAATTTTCATTGTCATTGTCAGCTTGCAAAACACATGATGTCTGATCTGTTTAAAATTAGATTTGGCTTGAGATGAATCATTGTTATATACATTGGTCTCAGCTAGATTAATCAAAAAATTACCCGATTTGTTTTTTACTTGAAACTTGATTCATATTATAATTACAATAATGAAAAAGTCAAAAGTAACAATAAAAAACCCAACCATAAGACATTGGGATAAGCCATTGAGACTTTTTTTGTGATTATGAAATTGGGGTTTGAGAACCTACCTGTGTGCTTGTTGTTTCATTGGGATGCGTTAGATCTTTGTCTAGGTTGGAGATGGGTTTGGCTACAGCTTTCCAGGAGTGACGATAAAGGGGGATGTGGAAGTGAATCTAAGTTAGCGAGAGACGATGTGTAATGGGGGGAGGGGGACGGTTGTTCGAGGAGGGTGGGGGGGACGGTTGTTCGAGGAGGGGAGATGGCATTGCCAGTGAGCGATGCCGGGGGAAGGATGATAGAGATTGGCAATGATGAAGGGGCAGAGAAGGTGGGATGGGACGAATTGAATAAGGAGGTTAACGACGGTGATAATGAGATCGAGGAGACTGGGTGACAGTTTCGATCTCGTGTTTGTGTGACCAAGACTAAATGAAAATAAAACTTATTTAATTACCCCTATTTAGAACTTGTTTAAAAAATATAAGTTTATAAACTAAAAACGAGTAATAAGAAAAAATAAAAAGTAACTTTATTTTTAATATATTATTTTTCATATTAAAGTAGATAATTTAAAAAAACTCTTACATTAGCAGTCTGTCAGGTCGAATTTTGATTCAACTGAATCTGACCCATTTTTATCAAGTCATTTTGGGATCAGTCAATTTCAAGTTCGCTCTCAAAACTAAGTACTTTCGAGTACAATATCATGTCAAGAACATGTCCGGCCACCTCCGGCAAAATTGACGCCGCTCATCCCCTCCAATGTGTTCGTGGCATCTCGGCGACCTCCAAAGACCCCTCAATTGCAAGATTTGATGGTGATTTGGAAAAAACCTCAATTTCGGATTTTAGGGGTTTTTCGAGTGGAAAAATTCAAATTCGAGGAGTTGCAGGCCAAATTGGAAAAAATGGTTTGAATATTCTTGATCCTAATCTTAAGACGAAGAGAATGGCGTTAGTCCCGCCAGAATCGGACCAGGTTGATTTTCCGGCGAGTTTGAGGTGGTGTGACGGCGACGGGGAGCGGAAGAAAAGAATAAAAGAAACGAGATCAAATTGAAAATTTTAAAATATATAAAATTCTAATTTGGTCCAAGTGACTGGAAGTTAACCTAGAAACGGGCAAATAGACTTTTAGTTAAAGGATTGTGTAAGTTCGGAAATTTTTTTAAAAGTATTTAAAGTTTAGGTACCACTTCAAAATTTCAACTAAAGTTCAGGTACGATTGGTATGGTGAATTTTGATAGTTACAAAGATGATTTATCGGAGTCAAGGAAGGAATCCTTAACGGGACAATAGGAGTATAGGACCACAAGTCAACCGGAGGTTGCTCTTTCCCGACATTATTTGATTTTGTGGCAAATTAAAAAAATATTTCGAGGGGCACGCGGTGGAGGGAAAATGCAATCTTTTAATTTTGCTCAAAATCTCTTCTTCAGTCCGAAATTACGATCACGCCCTCGCGTCATCAGCCAAACAAGCCTTCTCCCAGGCCCCAAACGGGGATTTCACAGTTTCCAGCCATTCTCTTTCTTCCTCGATCTCTCCCCCCCCACACCACCTTCTATCTCTCTCTCTTAAACCCTTGCTCAGATAGGTTTCTCTCTCTAGACTCCTTCCCCAGAAAAATTGAATTCCGACCGTTTAATCTACCAGTCCCGTGCCGTATATACTTACAGCTCCGTGTATCTATCTGCCGCTGCTCGGATTTCGGAGTTCCCTTTCAATCTGTAAGGCTCTTCAGTTTTTTTTTTGTTTTGTGTCTATTTTTCTTTTTGTTAAAAAAACAAGTTCGTTTTTTTTTATAGTCGTGTGTTTGATTGCAGAGAATCGATGTGTAATTGATTCCAGCTCTGTGTTTTCTCGGGGGGATTTCTTCAGGTTTTTGATACACTTGTATAAATTTTGTTAAGTTTAGATTTCCCATTGTTTGAATTTGAGGCGTTAACTTAAAGAGATGGCAGATTGGCTAAAACCGATTGATTTCTGTAAGGGAGGGTGGGTGGATTTGGATTTGAATTCGGAGCCCATTTCGGAAACTGATGATACTCCTATCACAGCTGACTCTGATTCTGGGAAGAAATGTGATTTTCTTTCTTTGGGTAATAAGTTTGAGGAGAGGGGCAGAGTGGTAAATGTTGAGTTAGATAAGGGTGTAGAGTTAGCTGCAGCTGTTGGTGGGTGTGTTGAAGAGTCAAAGTTGGTCCAATGTGGCGTCGGTGCAGTAGTAGAAAGGAGTTTAGGTGAGAACAGGGAATTGTCCGTAATCTCTAATGTTCCGGGCTTTATTAAGGAAGAACCAGTTTTGTTACAAGAATTTAATGTTGGGAATGGGTGTCTTAAAGTGGAAAGTGAAAGAAGTGGGCAAGCTGTGGAGAATGATGGTGGGTCTGATAGGGATGTAGAGTTAACTGCTGCTGTGTGTGCTGAAGAGTCAAAGTTGGTCCAATGTGTTTTTGATGCAGCCAGGGAATGTAACTTGGGCAGGAACAGTGGATTATCCAGAATCTCTAATTTGGTGGGCTCTATTAAGGAAGAACCAGTCACATTACAAGAATCTAATGTTGGCAAGGGATGTCTAAAATTGGAAAGTGATATTAGTGGGCAGGCTGTGGCTGTTGGGAGTGCTAATTCACTTGATGGTGGAACGAGTGACTTGATTGAGGATGAGAAGGTGATCCAGAAAGGAAAAAGAGGACGAAAAAGGAAAAATGCTGAAAATGCAAAAGTTTGTGATGATGAAGTCAAAAGAAAGAAAAACAACCACAAACCTTTAGTGGGTCAAACTGGAAACTGTGGAAGGGTGTTGAGGTCCAAGGTGAACTCTACAAGTCAAGCAGAGACTCAGCAAACTGAAGCTAATCCAGGCTTTGTCGATGCGTCAGTAGTAAAGGAGGATCATAAGCATGATATTAATCTACCTCAAAAAGCATTCAAGACTAGGGGCAGGAAAAAAAAGAAAGATGGTCGTGGTCGGCCCTGCAAGATCCGGGATGATGACAATATTGCCACATCAAACAGGAAGGACAAGGCAAAGGTGAATAGACTCCGGGGTAGGCATGCAAAGATCGCTAATAAAAATGGTTCATTAGAAATTGTTAAAAATCAGAAAGATAAAGAAAAGGAGCCTGATGAAAAGTCCAGCGATAATAAACATGATGAAAATGTAATTTTGAAATCTAAGAAGTCCTTGAAATCGAAAGAGGGGAATGCTGATCGAAGGGAACAACAGCAAGTGGTTAGAGATCAGATAGTTGAGATGTTGATGAAGGCAGGATGGACTATAGAATATAGGCAGAGGCTTACAAAGGATTACAAAGATGCAGTTTATGTGGACTGTGATGGGAAAACACACTGGTCAGTCACTTTGGCTTATCAGAAACTCAAAGCTAAAGTTGACCATGGAAGGGCAGATGACAAGACCCTCTCTGCCTTTACTGCTATCCCTGAAGAGGTACTTGGAACACTATACAGAACTAGAAATGAGAAGCCTAGAAAGGATAAGGGAAGCAAAAGTGGCAAGAACCCAAAATGCAAGGAAAATTTAAATCCTAACCCCAAAGTTAGGGACAAGCATCTAAAGAGAACTGCTACAAAGAATGCAAATAATCATGGTCGTACACCAAAGAAGGGATGCTCAAAGCCAAAGAGAGATGGGCAGGCTAGAAAGTCTATTGCTTTATTGGCACGTAGATCTGTAGAAATGTCTGCTGATCAAGATGGTGAAGAATCTGTCATTTATGATGGAAAGAGAAATCTTTTGTCTTGGATGATTGATTCAGGGAAAATCAAATTAGGTTCAAAAGTTCAGTGCATGAATGATGAAGGGACAAAAGTAATGCGCGAAGGAAAGGTCACTGGTGCTGGCATTTGTTGTGGCTGCTGTGGTCAAGCATTCACGATTTTGGATTTTGAGTGCCACGCTGGAAGTACACTATGCCAGCCGCTTCAACACGTATGCCTAGAATCAGGTCGTTCTCTTCTACAATGCTTGACAGAGTGGTGGATGAGCAAACAGGAAGAATATGATCATAATAAATTTAATGTGGAGGATGCTGATGACCCAAATGATGATACTTGTAACATTTGCGGCGATGGTGGCGATTTGATCTGTTGTGACGGATGCCCGTCAACTTTCCATCAGAATTGCTTAAATATTGAAGTAAGGGTGCAGCTAATCTTTTTGTACTCGTCACAACTTTACTTTATGGGAGGTGTAGTTTTTGCGTATTTCTTGTAAAAGGGTAATAATTATTTAGTATATGGGCTGATATGGGCATACTCCATCTTTGATTACTCTTGTACCATGACATTAAGGCATGAATTTTGATTCTGAAAGCTCGATAAAAAAGTTTTTCACGGACCATTTTTGCTATCTTTTTACCATAAAAGTACATTAGAGCAGACAACAAAATTATCAAGGAAATTTATTTTCTTGTGTTCTTTTTTACTTTGGAAAATGCAAAAGCTTAATATGATGTTTTTTTGAAGTTTTTAAAATGTGTTTAGATCTCTTGTTTAACAGACGTTGATCAATAAAACAATTAGCAGCAGAAATATATAAAATCATTTCATTGAGTTTAAACCTATCAACTCTTCCCACTATTTTCCGGGGTCCAACTTTTAGAGACATTGTTTAACTGTAAATGCATCTGAATGAAAAGTACGATGACATCATGCCAAGCATAAATTATGGTCATTTTTATGGTCACACTTATTTTCTGTTGTCAAGTCGCAAACTCTTGCATTTCAAATGAAACATCTGGTCAGTTTCTTAAAAGTGCTGTTTGTGGGGTACACATGCAGAAGC